GTAAATGCAAAGATTATGGAGAAAAACTTGAAAAACTTAGACATATTCGTCTTAGCAGAAGAGGCACCATATTAGCCTTTGATAATATTTCTCCCGAAATACTGGATAATACGTTTCTGTCACTTCAACAAGTTATGCTGGAAGCAATGAAGAACGACGGCTCCAATAATTTTAAGCTCACGCATATCGGGAAAGCAAAGCTTCGCAGCCAAGGATCCTACCTACAAGTTTAAAATGCAGTAACGAAATTACTGAAAAATCCAGAAACTATCTGAACACTCAAAAAAATTAGGAGTACTATTTTTAATTTATTGTTTAATTTAATCTAGTTTTTTGATAATAAATGCTGTGTTCTATATTTATTTTCTTTTGCTACTATTATTATGGGACAAATTACCTTCATCAACTGCTACTATTATTATGGGACAGAGGGAGTAAAATATATCATTATTGATTTCAGAGCGGAAGGGAGAAGGAGAGGGAGATAGAAACATCAATGATGAGAGAGAATCACTGATTGGCTGCCTCCTGCACGCAACCCACTCGGGATCAAAACCACAACCTGGGCATGTGCCCTGATCAGGAATCAAACTGTGACCTCCAGGTTCATTGTTTGACACTCAGTCACTGAGCCACACTGGTTGGGGTGTTAGGCTGTGTATCTTCTGACAGCTGTGGAGGAACAGCCAGCAAGTTAGAGGTCAAAGTGGCATAAACAAACATCTGTAAGGAAGCTCTGGGCATATTGATGAGGGCGAAGGTGGGTCCTCTCACAGGAGGGGCAGATGGAGGGTTTTCTTAACGAGCTACGGAGAGCTTATCTTCATGCTCTGCGAAGCTGCAAGAGGGGCAAGAAACTGATAACATTTAGAGTGTGTTTTACAAATATAGCTTCTGAGGATAAAATGGCCATAGGTGAATGAAAGGTACATGATTTATCTATCACTTCCCGATTGACCGTTCAGTTCACTTATGCATGCACTGGTGCTTTGCTGTCCACTATGGTAGCCACTGATATATCAACACCCGAATTTGAAGACTTAGTATGAAAAAAGAATGTAAAATATCACATTAAAAATTTTTAAGGTGATTATATGTTGAAATGGTAATACTGAATACACTGACTTAAATAAAATATCATTTAAAAGTTAATGTAGGCTTTAATTTTTACTTGTTGCTCATGTGGCTTCCAGAATTGCATGGGTGGCTGGCATTGTTATTTCTGTTGCCCAGCTCCTGGATGGAGGACAGGAAGAACAATGAACGAAGCCTGGGGCCTGGCACCCAGTGGGTGCTGTGAAACTGTTTGTAGGACAACCTACTACCCTTTAGAAGTGATATTCCTGACTCAGGTTAAGTTTTCATTTAAAAAATGATTTTACAGACTAAATGTTTGTGTCCCCCACGACTCCTCCCAAAATGATGTTATATTTGATATATGAAAAGGAATTTGGAATTTCTTGCTGTCCAGACACAGGAACTAAATATTCTGATAGCTTTCAGACTCATTCCTCATTATCTAAACTCCTGCTACCAACCAAACTCAGAAACCAAAACAGATCTGGGTAGCAAGGGATACTTGTATATAAGTGTCTAAGTTTGAAACATAATAAGAACTACAGGATGACCAATATTAGCGAAACTGCCTACGTATCCTGCCTGCTTCTGCTTCTTTAACCACCACCCCCAGCAGAACTGCTATCCTCAGTTTTATGTCTATCATTCCCTTCACTGTCTTTTAAAATACAGTTTCCATGTGTATATCCCTAAATAGTGTATTGTTTTCTCTTGTATGTTTTTGAGCTTCATAAAAAATTCTATAGTTTGTAGTCTTTTTAAAACTGAAAACATTATTTCATTAGCAATTCTAATCCAACATTTCTTACCAAAGCAATGTAACTTTTTTAGCCAGGATTTAAACATGAATTATTCTCCAGGGCTGACAAACTTTTTGTTTTAACATGTTTAGAAGTTATAAAAAGTAGGCAAATGGAATAATTAAAATGAGAACATGTCTTCATAAAGAACATGTCTTTACATATCTATGCAAGTGACAAGGATTTAAAACTTAACCGGCGATTACCTCGATAATATAGAGGACTATATTCTTGTAGAAGCAGTACAAAATGCACTTGGAGACTCTGTTATAGTTCCAGGCACCGTGAACCATCAATAAATTCTTCAAATACTTGAACTAAAGATAAGAGTGGAAAAAAAATTAGTATTTCCCTTTTCCTAGTGTCAGCTGACTGAGATGAAGGGTGTGACTGCAGAAATGATCTTTACCTGCGCGATGGAGTAATCAGAAGAATTAGCTGCCTGAAGGCCTTCATTCCCGCTTATACCCACGCCAACATGTGCCGTCTGGATCATGCTGACATCATTGGCTCCGTCACCAATTGCAAGTGTTATGACTTTGACTTGCTTCTTAACCATCTCAACGACTTCAGATTTTTGAAGGGGAGAAACCCTTAAATTAGAACAAATGATCAATTAGCTCTGTTTTCTGGAAAATAAAAAAGAATTTTAAAATGCCAATTGTCTTGAAGGATAAGAGCAAGTGAGTATGCAGTTCTAGGAAGAACCATTCCGGAAAAGTCTTAGGTTTGCAAATGTTTGGTTCTCTGTTAACCTGGTTGCCAACTCAAGGGAAAAAAGGAAACGAAAGTCTTGGGAGCAGATCTCTAGGAGATAAACAGAAGCTATGACACCTTGTTAAGCACTAGTTTACCAGTTTACCAGGACTAGTTTATTTCTTTAACAAGTGTGCACTAACTTGTTAAAGAAATAACATCTGAGTTCAGAAATGCCATTACTTCCTAACAAATAACATCAGCATTTCTAAGTTTTCACTTGTGAACGAAAAAGATCAGAAAGGCTGTTAAACTATAGTTCAAATACTTATTAAAACCTGTACTATTTTTGGAGAACAAAAGTTTTGAGCCACCGAAAGGTGAACTTAGACAACGTAATATACATTTAAAACAACTTAAAACTCTACTTAAGTTAACAGTAGGGCATTGGCTAATCTCTTGACCTGTTCTCAGACACCAAGGTGAATCAACCAAAATAAATGCCAAGCACTTGGTTGCATAGCTCCTGTGCCTCAATTTTCTTCCAAAGCTACTGACGAATGGCCAAGGAGACTCAAGCAACCTGCATGACTGTGGGGTCAGGGGCAGAGAACAGCAGCACCCAACTAAAATCCTTTTTGGTATTAACTATGGATCATCTTATTACAGACTTTTAAAAGCCACTTAAGAAATAAACCCCACAACAATTACAGCAGGGCTCAAAGACAGAATGTGTCAGTGTGATGAACTTAATATATTACGAACACTGTCTTGGCGATTAAGAAGAAAGGAAAACTAAACAGTGACCTGGCTCAGTAAACAGTGAAGATTGTGATTCAATACTAACAACTATCACACAATGTTGGACAAGAAAAACAACTCACAGCTAAATTCTTTATCGAGGTTAAGTGCAGGAGGTGCCTCATAATATCTGCTGGAACATCTGGTAAATCATTTATTATTCCGTCTAAAAATGAAGATCATTACTCTGAAAGACTCAACATCTTGCACATTTTCCTGATTATTTCTTTAGGAAACATCCCTAGCAGTGGATCCTCAGCACCAACATGTACTTTCAGGAGGCCCACTGCCCTTCAGAAAGGCTTCATTCGGCCAGAGCCGCGCTGGGTTTTAGTTCAAGTGTGAGAATCATTGCATCGGGCTGGGAGTTGCTTGCCGAGTGAACCTGTCTCCTCGTCTTTGTATTCCTAGTGTTGATCCCACATAGGTCCTCAGTAAAAGGTTGCTATATGAAAGACTTATTTTTAACTCTTTCTTTAAATCTCCTTTCAGAGTCTAGCAATTGTACAAAACGACACAACAGTGAATACCAGGGAACGGACGAGCCTCAGGCCATTAATGAGCTTTTGCATGTGAGCCCCCTTTGCTCTCTTTGAAGCAATTTTCATGTAATTTTCCAAGTTTATTTAATTTTTTCTTAACAGGCAAATATAAACTGAAGTCCACTAGCTCTAGGCCAGTGATGGCGAACCTATGACACGCGTGTCAGAGGTGACATGCGAACTCATTTTTTTGGTTGATTTTTCTTTGTTAAATGGCATTTAAATATATAAATGTAAATACAAGGGAACGGATGAGTCTCAGGCCATTAATGAGCTTTTGCATGTTAGTCCCCTTTGCTCTCTTTGAAGCAATTTTCATGTCATTTTCGAAGTTTATTTAATTTTTTCTTAACAGGAGAATATAAACTGAAGTCCACTAGCTCTAGGCCAATGCTTTAGGGGGAGACTACAGCTGACATTTAGTGTCACAAAAGAATGCTCACCAAGAAATGGACTAAAAAGCAAATGGGAAATGGGCTAGGCAGAGACTATAGCTGACATTTAGTAAGTGTCACAAAAGAATGCGCACCAAGAAATGGACTAAAAAGCAAATGGGAAATGGGCATGAAGAGAGAAATATTTGAAAACATTCATCAAATTCTCTTCACGATTTAACAGTCTTACAGTGTAAACACATGTGAAGTCACACCGTGGTACATCAATGGAGCTAGAAAACAGTGGTACCTTTTTTCATAAGTCAATGTGTCCTAAAGAAGACATCTCTGCATAGCAGCTAATATTAGTGATTTAAAGAAGGATCTGAAAAGAGCCAGGTTAAACTTTGTTTTCTTCTTTTATTTTTAATCCTAACCCAAGGAAATGCTTAGAGAGAGGAAAGGAGGGAGGAAGAGAGAAACATCGATGTGGGAAAGAAACAGATCGGTTGCCTTCCATAAGCGCCCCAACCAGGGGTTGAACCCAAAACCCAGGTGGTATGTGCCCTGACTGGGAACGGAACCGGCAACCTTTTCGTGTACAGGATGATACTTAACCAATGGAGCCACTCCGGCCGGGCAGAACTTGGTTGTCTTACTTCATGGCTACTGCAACCAACCACTGCTTTCTCTGCTTCACACTGCGATTTTCAACACCCCCAGATTAGAACTGGCTTCGAATTTACACCAACTCGGTGGGTGTGGTTAACTCAGGTGTTAAAGACAGAATACAAATCCCCTTGGCAAGGACAATACCCATTTAAAAAAATATCTGGTGATGTAGTCACAGACATTCCCCACACCACACTGCTGCTGTGACTGGCTAAGGCATCTGCTTCTATTATCAAGCGAAAAGCAGACAACTGGTTTGGAAGAAGATTCAAGAAACAGTGGAAGCCCTCGTAACTGAAGGGTTTGAAATAGCAGTTGGTTGCTAAAGAAAGATGTCAAATTTAAGTGGGGATTCATAAAAAATAAAATATACTTACTTAAAACATTTAACTCAAAATAGAAATGTACAAACTTGTGATGCAGGGCAAAGAACCTTACTTGGCATCGGGGTCAGCCGCCTAAAATTCTGCATACTTTGGTTGCAGAAGCCTCCCTCACCAGGCACAATCCACGGTTGGTTTCATTAATGTGAAGACTAGAATGTAATGATGCCCTCCACCCAAGTTTATTATATGACCCACCCCAAATTCAACAGCAAAGTTTTTAGCAACTCAAAAAAGTCTCTCGAGAGCATTCTACCTGGTTTTCTTTGGACTAGATTGTTATTTCTAAGACCTACAAACTGTTTAATTAAAAGGATGATTACTTTAAGAAGTAGCATAGGAATAAAGATTAGGGACCAAGCACCCACTGATTAGAGGTAAACACCACGCACAACCATGGAAGCAAAGGCAGGGGTGCACTACAGAGGGTCCTCCCAGCTCCGGGCATGATGTGCTGTGGGCACCTGCCAGCTGTCTTAGGGAGGAAATGTGGTTTAAGGGGTGGGAGGACTCAGGTTACTCACGCTATATTCAGTTTAAAAGATCTATGTTTTTAAAGCATCCATTTAAAAAATTGTTCCTTGCTACGAAGGGGTTACAAGATAGCAAAACAAACGACAAGACAATAAAAGTGAGTGTAGCACAAAGCTTTTGACAGATTACCAGTACTTGATAATTTCAGAGGATGTAGAAACTAGCTTGGGCTGCAAGAGGCTTCCTTGATGAGTTAGAATTTGACAAGGACAGCTCATGGCAGGTAAAAGCAGCAGCAGCACATATTAAAAATTATCCACAATATATTCCCTCCTACGGTTTTATTCCTACTTCATAAAAGGCCACCTATTTCACTCATTAGAGTTTATTTATTTTCTCGACTTTTGTACACTTGCGTCTACATGTGTACAATGTCCATAATAGTCTAGAATGGTGATTTTCAACATTTTTCATATCATGGCACCCATACATGAATTACTAAAAATTCTGCGGCACACCAAAAAATATATCTTTTGCCTATCTGGCAAAAAAAAAAGAGGGTATAATTTAGATTCATTCACACCAATAGCTATTGTTGTGTTGGCTGCTATTTTTTGGGGTTGGGGGTGGGGGTGGAATCTAAGGCAAAAGAGGTCAGTGCCCCTGACTAAATAGTCAGGCACTGCATGTTTAAAAAATTCTTGTGGCACATCAGTTGAAAACTGGTGGTCTAGAACAACCTCGCTGCACAAATTAATTCTTTCAAATGTCTATCAAAACCCACACATCCATGGTTGAACATATCTAAAACCTTAACTTTACCAATACCAATAGTGTCCCAATGTATAATCCAGAAACATCATAAAAGCACTGTGTTCTGCCCTAGATATATATATATATTTTTTTACCACCTATGGGTCTGTATCAGGATTTAAATTATTCACAGTTCTCCTCTGCTGTTGCTCTTTATTCTTCAGGAGAAGTAAGAGCCTCGAAAGAAAAGGACTCCACAGTCAGTGTGTGCATAGGGTCCGGTGTTCTTCCCCGTGGCTCCACAAACAGAGGGTGGTCCTGTGCGATACGCCCTAGCAGTGCACTGAGTGCAATATGCTTTTCAGATATTATTTTGGCTGTAGTTTCTGCACATGTTATTCATTACTTTCCTTACTGGCTATGTAGTAATTCTCACAGCCCTGTGAACATGAGATCGTGGTAGTGGAAATTTTTTTTACCATTTAAGCTAGAAAGTATATAGAGTGGCTCAAATTATATTTTGCACTCTTTTCATAGGATTAGCTAAATGAGTCACTTTAAAAAAATATGTTTTTATTGATTTAGAGGAAGAGGGAGGGAGAGGGAGAGAAAGATAGAAACATTGATGTGAGAGAGACACATCGATAGGCTGCCTCCTGCAGGCCCCCTGCTGGGGACCGAGCCCAAAACCCGGGCATGTGCCCTGACAGGGAATCAAACCAGTGACCTCTTGATGGGTGAGATGAGGCTCAATCCACTGAGCAACACTGGCCGGGCAATGAGTCACCTTTTTGAATAAAATATGTATAAAGATGAAATGTGCAGGTATACACATAGACACATAATAAAGAATATTTTAAGGGACTTTCTACAGGTAGACAAAAGGGGTACAATAATG